CTGCAAAAAGACCGGACACTGCAGCATCAAACAAATATTAGGCGGCAAAAAGGATCTGGCATGGTTGCTTTGCTCAGAGTTTATTGGGGGTGGATTCACTGCGGATTGGCTTGGGGTTTGCTGGCTTGGTGTGGGTTTAGGGTGGGATTAGGGTGGTGAGTTGTGCGCGGTTCGCCGGTGCTAGACGCTGAGTGCTAAGCAAAGAAAGAACCTTCCGACATACCCAGAAACTCCCGAAAACAAACCTCCAACCGAGAGTTTCACTTGTTGCGGGGCTGTTTCACCTGCAACTGATTCAGCCCTGTCGATCACTCTATATCTGGATGTCTCGTCTCAAGTACTTTTGGATCCATTGCAAGTTTGCTGGGGTGTGGGATGTTTGGCCACTTGACTTAGCACCATGAAACATAGAAGAAGCGACCACTACTGTTCAAGGGGATGGTTCCACGGAAAGCAAAAGGTAAACCCAGCAACGGAAAAAAAAGCTCTGGAAGATGATCCCAACCATCTTTCGATCCTAAATCAACTCTGAAACTTGGACATCTCCAGACCATAAGAGGCCAGGTGCGAGTCTGTTTTACTGGGATGGGGCTGGAAAAATCATCAAACAACCCTCCAGCCATCCCCTGTTGAATTCCTTTGGAGAAAACACGCATCTATTCGATTCTCAGCAACGCTCATGTGTACTATCTCCATGCCATTTGGCACCTAGCAATCCAATGGGGGATGAAACCGCATGTGCCAAAACTCAAGTTGAACTTTAAAAAGTTGTGAAGCTTGGGGACTCATTCTAAGGCCTCGGACAGCCGGAGCCCAGTTTGTTCTTTGCGTTTTAAGTCTGCCAACTCATCTGCAGGTCCATTGGAGCCCCGAAACCGCATCTCGACTTGCGCTCGTTCCAATTCGGAAGCAGAACCCCTTGCAGAACCTGCAAGAGCTGCGCGAAGATGGTCCGCACCCAGTCCTCGCGGAGATGGAGCAATTGCTGTCAAACGGAACTGCTCAATGCTTGGTTGACGTTGAAGGGGAGAAAAATTTGAAAACTTTTAGCAGTTGAGTGGTTGGATTTCAAGCACTAAACCACACACAATAAGCAAGAACGTGAAATGTTTCCCAACAACAACCATGAATGGTTGACCTCTTGGGATCATCACTCTGACCGGGACAAATTTTCTGGGGGGGGGGGGGGGGGGAGGGTTCAAATCGGGCAATTAGCGACCATGTTGACAACATGTTACCATCCTTTGGGGGATCTCAGTTTTTCGAGTTTTAACGAAGGTTCCAAGGTAAACCCAATTTACGGATCCGAAAGTCGCCTGATTGCCTGGATTTACCTTGAACTGAACACTTTCTGGACTGACCCCATCCCGTTAAAGGCATCGTTGTGATCTGTGGTTCCTTCACAGAATCAGAAACCCAGGTGTCAAGACCCTGTAGTATGTGTGCATATCTTGCAACACCAACTCTGTGAATCACCCAAGGTGTTCAAATATGGTGCCCCTAAACGATCACTGCTCTCTGCTTTTCTTTGGTTTCTCATTTAAGCAAACCCAACTGCTTCCCTTTGCTTTCCCATAGAAAACAAGCCCAAAAAGGGTATCCTCAGAAAAGAGATCAGCCCTCAGACTTTGATTTTTTTTGCGCGGTCCTCGGTGAAGCTCAGGAAATCTTGCTCGATCTTCTCCTGAACCGGGTCGCGTGAAGATGGAACCTGACCCCATCGGGGTCCAAGACGAGTCCCGTTAAACAGGGATCCGGATGCATTATACACCTGAACATTGCCTTGTAAATGGTGGTGTCCCTTTATTTTGGTGGAAAAAGTTGCAAATGGTTGCAACATGTATCTTTTAATGAGCCCTGCTAAACACCTGCAAAATGAGGAAACCCCTCGGTCCATCTGTCCAGGGCTCCACTTCTTGACGATCGACGATAGACTTCAACCCAGGGCTTCTCTGGCCGAAGGGACAAGCCCCACCCATTTCGGAGGGTTCTTCGGGCTCTAAGAACTTTCCGGGGCCCCAGCTGTTTCTCTTTATCTTGAGAAGGCATATTGTTGGGACGGGTGCGATTGTTCGCAGACAAACTCACGTGTGTACCCAAGCTGCAAAATCAGTTCCCTCGAACTAATTTAGCAGGGAAAGGCAACCATCGACAGCGTTCCGGGAAGGGACAAAAGTACATTTGCATTATTTCCACAAACACACGGATTGGCAGGGTTCAATCATCGTCCGGGGCAGAACCGGATTGGTCTCCCCGCGCGGTGGTGGATCTGGGGCTCACCACGCAAACACTCGCAAGAAAAAGAACCCGCACAAGAAGAAATCAAGTCGACCCATATTGCGGCTTGAGACAACTCCCATGCCGTAAGCAAACCATCCGGCTTGGGCCTCAAGCAAAACGAGAAACCCGGGAGTCGACGGCCTTGAGATCCCCCTCGGGGCAGAACTCCATGATGATGATGAAGTACCTCGCGCAAAGCATCTATGGCCCAAGTTCACAGAAATAACATACTTTCTGTATGCTCTGACTCTGTTACAGATTTAGTCTACCCTAATGTATATATATATATATCTAAACCCATGATCTACCTTTTGCATATCATCCCTGCGTGTGTTCTGTCCCATCTGCAACTCTAAAGCACATGTTTCTGGAAAAATGTCCCATCTGTAGGTCATTGCATATCATTCCTGCCTGTGGTATGTCCAACCTCATTCTATTCCAAAAAGGAAAGTCTAATAAGATGCCGGTGTTGTCAAATTCTACTCAACTGGTTACTAACTGCAATCGAAGTGCTATTTGGGAATCACATTGAAAATCATATTGAAAATTGGCGGTGTGTTTAACTCTCCCTACGGAATTCTACAAAGCACCTTTAATGAAAGCCACACGTGGAAAGGATATTCTCTTTTAATTATCATTTTGAATCGAACTTCCAATTAATGTTGTCCTCGATAACTTATATTCAACATGTTTGTTTAATCAAAATCCTGAATGGGCCTCATAAGGAGCTTTACAAGCAGCTTTAAAAGGAATTGCACAAGGAGCCTCAAAAAGAGCCTTAAAGAGAGCTCTAGAAGGATCTGTATAACTAGCCCCACAAGCAGCTGTATACTGAGCCGTCCTTATTGACTTCCATTAAAATCTAATATCAGTTTAATCAAGGTCCTGTTTGGTAAGGAATTCCTCTTTTCAGTCTTTCTAGAGCCTAAATTGCGAAAGAGTTCAGCCAAAGATGCCAATGCAGAGCGAAGCAAGGTGCGCGCATATATGGTCACACCTTCAGCATAAAGAGACGTGAGCAAATCTCAAAACTACCCAAAACTAACAAAAACAACAAGATTTGAGGGACAATGCCCAACAAGCCAAAACAACTCAGCGTGTTGTTAGTCTTCTGAAAAAACAAAAGGCCTCGATGTCTTGCTCTGTTTTTTTTGGGCGTGGGGGGGGGGCATCCCCCCCAAAAAAAAACTGGGGACAAATATTTGGCTTCAGCCTCAAACTTTGGTTTTGTTTGGCTTCAGCCTCGAGCTTTGTTTTGCGTGGTTTCTCCCAATTTTGTGCGGTTTTTCCTTAGTCTTTGGTTTTGCATTGTTCATTAAGCAACAAAAGGCCTCGAGTTTGTTTGTTTCTGGCATCTGGCCTTTTAAAGAAACCAAAAATATAAAGAAACCAAAAACATCGAATTGTGCTTCTTTCTAAATGAGAATGCCAACAAAAACACATAAACTGAGGACAGCCACAAAAACGCGAGGAAACCAACAACAAATCAAAGTTTGGGGCTGAAGCCAAACTTTCTCCCTCGGAGAGATTGTTTGTTCTGGAAATGCGTGTGTTTGTGCACTGGTGTACTGTAAAACGAGTTTTATTATTATTATTATTATTATCATTATTATTATTATTAGTATTATTATTATTACTATTATTATGCTTCAGTAGGAAAAGTCAAATCTAGCTTACATATGGTTTACATGTTGAACATGTCAAAAAAAAGCTTGGACACCAGGAATTGTTATATACTGTAGAGTATAAAACACTGTAAACATCCATGCTTTTCTAGCATGCCCAACTCAAAGTGGAATGCCCCGGTCAGGGTTTAGCACACACACATTCTCACAATAGTCGCGATACAAGACAGTCGCGCGTTGAACATTGTGTACCATCAATACACAATAAGTGTTTGAAAGGACTTCAAAACGCTCCTAAAGGTATCAAAAGGAGGGGAGGGGAGTGGAGGGGAGTGGAGGGAGAGAGAGAGAGAGAGAGAGAGAGATAAATTTTGGAGGACCAGAAGCGTACGGGACCCAAGATGAATGTCCTTGTGGTTTCCCGTAGACCAAAGAGGATTCCCCCCCCCCCGGCCACAAGAAAGACAACCCCTAGGTCCTCGAGTAGAGAGGTCAGAAAAAGGGCCTCCTTCTTTCTGCAGTCGGGAACCCTCCCCCAAAATTAAGTTGGTGAGAAAGGGCACCTAGCTGGGGGACCTCCCCCAATTCGTGAGGATTGAAACTGCGCATCCCAGGCCCTTTTTCTCCGCATCGCTGGACGTCTCGCCGGAGCCGAGTGGTCTCGTCCCTTCGAGCCCGAGTAAGAACCGCGAAGTTGCGCGGGGTGGCCTCTGGCCTCCGCATCGCTTCCAGGCAAGCCATACTGTGGATGAACAAAATGCATTTCGCACCACCCAAGACACCATGGTTGAAACCATTGTTTGTTGGTATTCACAGGTGATCGTATCATTCTAGGGTTTCTTAGGTGGTGCGAAATGGATTTCGTCCATCCACAGTAAGGGGTTGCCCTTACCATGGTAAGACCTAGAGGTAGCAATATCTGGTTACCTACTGGGAACTGGAAGCGCGGGATCCCAAGCACAGACCCAAAATGGCCTGGAAGATCTTTCCAGAGTCAGAAAGGGAAATACGCGACCTGCCAGACACCTGACATTCGCGAATCGATTCGCCCTTTGGCGCTTTTTTTTTCTCGGCTGGTCCGAGCGTTTTAACCCATCAACGGGGCGCAGGTCTGAGCGGAGCCTTCGCTGGCGATGTGAAGAGGTAGTCTTCCTAGGTACATTCAATCTCGGTTGCTTTCTGCCCCCTGCAAAAAGTTCAACTTTAGTGGTTTAATGGAAAACCCATTCATGTTAACCCCGGAATAACAAACCCCTGGTTGATTGATAGGGGGGTGTCCCCTTTTAGTGGGGATTCATCACTTCTGGAGGGAACACCTCCCTAATAATGGGACGGATTTATTAATCCTGGGTCAACATTAGTTGGCAGGAAGTTACAGTCCTAACATCCCTTGGCAAAATGCAAAGCAGTCACTGTGGACCTGTCATGCTTTTGTTTGGAGGGCACCATTTTTGGTGCCAAAGGGAAACCCAACGGAAACCATGCATTTGGCGGGCGGCCCCATTCCCCCTTTCTGAGACAAACCCTACTGATTCAGGGGCGAAGCCGGGGTGCAACGGGGCCAAGCACCCCAAAGATGTCATCTTGCCAGTTGATGCCAGTTGGCTTGGGAGTGGATACACACGATTCAGATCAACGACCCCTAGAATTCTTCCAAGCATCACCAAAACTTGCTGGTTCTCAGGAAGGAATCAGCAAAGGTGGGTTTGTCCTTTTGGGGGGGACGGGGGAGCCCCAAAAATGATTCTTGCCTTCCTACTGCTGCTTCGTTTTCAAAACCACAAAAATGCTTGCCAACCCGGCCATTCCACTCCGAGCTTCAATGAGCACATAATCCAAGTCCGGGAGGGTGTCAAGCATCTGCAAGCTCTCCTTCACCTCCGTTTCGGCACCCCATCCGCTCCCTTGAGGGGAGCAGTCTGACATGCGGCCCAGACGTATTGCCAAGAAAGTCAACTCCAAAAAGGACCGCAGCCGTGCAAAACGAGTTTCACTCCCAGCTTTTTTTGCTGGCGACCCAACTTACACGATCAAGCTCCTCGAGTAAGCAACGCTGCCTTAAAAGGGAGCCCCAAAAAGGATTTGTCGATGTCGGTGTTCTTTTTGGTTGTCCTGTAAAAAACCACAAAGAGACAAGGGTACCCACATTGGGTGGATGGTTGAGAAATCCATTTCGCACCAAATTGAAACCATGGGAAACCATATTTTTTGTTGGAGTATTGATAGTATCAAAGGGGAATCATCATTCTAGGACTTCTTAGGTGGTGCAGGATTTCGTTCACCCACAGTATTACCCGAGTCGATCGCGTCGCTTCGGTATAACAACTTTTTGCCCAGACTCGGAGTTCACGATCGGCTTGCCTCCTGGGGCGCGCTTCGAGCTCCAAATTGCCGGTGGGATGAAGGCTAAAATAGGAATTGGATCAGGTAAAGAACCTGCATGGGTGAACTTCTTTGTTTCACCGGAGCGGGAATCGCTCGTGTTCCCCCCAAAAAGCAAACACTCCGCTGGCTCGGGAAGCCCAAAACGGAGACCCGTAGGTCTTGAAGCGTGCCGTGTTCGGAGCGCATCCACTCAAGCGGTTGTACATGCCACAATTTCTGGATCCCGGTCTACGACATTGGGCCCCTGGCTGGGTGGTTTGAGCTTGGGAATGGGTTGGTTTGGGCCTGGGGAAAAAAAAAGCCCGGCGCTTCTAGGCACGATGGCTTTCCCATAGTCTGACCTCCAGGTTTTGCCATGATGGGCTTCCCAAGGAGTTTCCTATCTGGCTCCTCCTTTTTTACCAAAACATGTCCTGCAAGCACTGAAGGAAACCCAACCCCAGGCTCGTTTCCCCTGGATGTCCAACGAAACGTAACGTTGTTTTGCAGCTACGAGTCTCGCCCACTGGTCAGGCCCTCCCACAGAGGTCACTTCCCCGCAGCAAAAGTTGATGAATTTACTGGACCCCCAGAGGACCCCTTTTTTCTGCCTTTGACCCCAAAAAAAGGGTACAAAGGCAGAAAAAAAGGGGTCCTTTGGGGGTCCAGGTTACTGGTGCTGTCCACTGAAACGCTCCGAGTTCCACTTCTGGAGCTTCCGAAAAGGGGCATGGCTCGGGCCTTGCTGGCCCAGTTTTTTGCGCCGCTTGGAACGGAAGCCGGCTCGCCTTTACAAGTCACTCCAGCTCGCCTCTGGAGGCCCAAAAGCTTGCTGCTTCTCAGGGAATAAGGGAAGGGCCCCTATATACAATGAACCCATCCATCCTCTGGTTTCCTTTTTTCGGCGAATCCCCCCAAAACCGGTTCATTCATTCAACCCACACCCAGGTTTCTCCTTGTCCTTCCCTACTGACCTATCGCGAGCACCAGGAAAAACAGAAAAAAATAAAATAAAATAAATATTTTTTTTTTTTTTTAAAAAAAAAAAAAGAACATCGCGAGCAAGGCTCGGGTGTTGAAGCTGGTGTTGATCAGCGCAGCCAGGCCCGTCAGCTTGCTGACCGCCAGCAGCAGGCTGTGGATCCAAGGCTCTTCCCGCTGCCCCACGGACCTCAAGGCGAGGCGCGGCGGCGAGGCGCGGCGGTCGGATCCACCAAGGCGAGTGAAAACTCAGCACCACACACGCACACGCCACACAGCACACACCACACGCAACCACATGCGCAACAGATATGAACAAAATCATGATATATTACTAAAGAAGCATATATCATACAAATGCCTGATTCAGTCACAAGGCCTCTAATTATGCCTCTATGCATCTTTGCCTTTCCATCCGCCTAAAAAGGCAGGCACGTACCGGCGGCACCGAGACGAGCCCAAGAAGGAACCGATGCATCTCAGGCCGTTTAAGAACTCATTGCTTGCCAGATTGAGCTTGTGGCACCCTGCGCATTGGGGAAACGGAAGATGAATGGCAGCTTGGTTCAAATGGGTCAAAAATAGGCACCCAAAATGGAACTAAAACCTGCGGTCCCCTCATGACCTAATTTTGACCCACACCCAAATGTCCGCTGGAAATAAGTATGGTGTGGGAGGAAAATAGATGGCCCTCTCAGAATTGGGCTAGCACTGAGATGTCCCTAACGTACATGAAGCGAGGTCCTCCCGATTCCTTCGCAATTGACATTGGGCCAACTCAGAAATATCCTCTCCTTATCCTGGAAAACAGTAAAGCTATATGGCGAACGGTAAGATGGACAGGACACGCTCGTTTCAGAAGACTCTCCTCTTGAAGCCCTTCAGCTTGACCCTGGAGCCGAATCGGGTGCTTTGGTGGTCCCCAAGATCGAGGGCTTCAAATCCAAACCACCGGGCTCCAAACCATCAGAGGTCGGGGTGACTGGCTAGGGGCTGCTTCCCCCATTCTCTCCAACCAACCTTCTTCTCAGAAACCGGATCCGTTCTCCCTGGGTTTCCGGAGGCCTTCTAGAAAGAAGGATCCCTGGAAAGAGTGGAAATGGAATACCCCTAGATTGCCAGGTCTTGCGAACCTTGCGCAGCCGCGCAACCACTCGCGTCAATCAAGCGGCTGATGCCGCGCGGTACCGTCGAAGTGCACCATCGCGGGGAACTGCTGCTTGACCCACTCCTGGCAAAAGGCGTCGGCCACCTTGGGGGAGATTTATCGCAATCTGAGCCATGGATCAAAGGGGTTGCTAGGAACATCTACAGGACGTGGCCCCAAACCACAAAAGCAACATGAGCTGGTTTTCCTGTAGAATCTCCTGAAGCCCAAGCCTTTGAATGGAGTACTTAAGATATGGAGAAGGGCTACTTCGCAGAGTTCCTCCGGGGAGTCGATCCCAACGACTGCGGAATGGGCAGAAGGGCCTTGAAGGCGGACAAACGAACCGGATTCCCTCGGTTTTTCGAGGATCTTTGGCTCCAAATGGGTCCCTAAACCCCTGGGTTAGGTACTACAAGAAAACCCCCCAAAAGGCCCCCTTTGAGGTGAACCAATGGAGGTGATTTTCAACCCAAGAACTGGGCTGCCAGATCCAACTAGGTCCTCCAGATTTGAGAGGTTGGAAGAAGTGTGCCCTTATTTCTGGCTTGTCTATTTCAGTAGGGGAACCCTCCCCCAAAAAAGAAACGGTAAAAGGGACCTAGCCAAAGTGAATGACTTTTAGTGGGATACGGAAACTACGGCGTGGCTCCTGCACTCGTGGAGCACGCTCCATGTGGGGCGACCGCACATGGCGACCGAAGACGCGCACCTGGAGCCGGGCGTCTCAGCCTGGCCTTTGGACAAAATCGATGGCACTGGTAAATGCCAAATGTTGACCCCATATTAATAAACCCCAGTGCAAGAGGGTATCTCTGGGTCTAGTGGGGATTCATCACGTTTGGAGCGGAACACCCCCATATTAATACACTGGGGTTGATTCATATGGATGGAGTCAACATTAAAACTAACACCATCTATGTACCAAACTGACCCAGTGGATTTGAATGGTCAGCCAAAGGTTGGCGCTCTGCCCTGCACGACGATTGCGACAAAATTGGCCAAAAGCTACATGACAAGTTTAGCCGAACGAAAGCCTCACATGTTTGCTTGAATGACCTGAGCTCATACATTCTACGCCCGAAAGCGAATTGGCACCAGATCAATCAGCTTCAATCGATCTCAACATGTTCCTCGCTAAAACTCCGTCGTTTGAGGACCTCAAGAACCATGCAGAGCTGAAATCTGCGCATCTTGATGCTCCACGTCCAACGAATCAATCAGGGGTCTCCGGTTTTCACTTCAGCTGGTGACCTTTGACTTCCAGAAGTCCCACTTGCGAAGCTCAGTGACCCTGAGAACCGAAGGCCAAGCTGCGAGCGCTTCATCCGCAATCATCGGCGCAATGGGGCGGTACCACTTCCGGAACTTCAGCTTGTTCATCCTGACCTTCATGTCTTCCTTGGATCCGGTTGGGTGCTTTCAAGTGCGGGTCTTTTGGGGTTTCCCCCCCAAAATGGTTGTCAAGAAGAATCAAAAGGAACACTGAAATCCACTTTTGGGAGATCCCATAGAAGAAACAAGCCACGCCCATGTTGGTTGATTTGGACCCCCGCATCATGGTTTTCCTGGGGGGGGTGTCAATCGTGGCACAACAAATCGAAAACTTCCAGAAACCCAGCCCCATGTGGACCCCATCTCTTCCGAAGCTTTCTCAACTGCGCGGCGAGTCGAGACTGCCGTACCCCGAAAAAATGGACACTCATCGGGTCTATTTTGGCTGCGGGTCAAAACAAATGGCACCCAGTTTAGTCGATTTTAGCGGGTATTGGGATGTTCACTGGCGGTACGGGCTTTTGACCCATAGCCATTTAACAACCACCTTCTTGGCAACATGTCAATGTATGGCCCTGGCACCTGCCAGGTGGCGGCATTTTGCGGAAGGCCTTCTCGAAATTGCTTTTTGGGGGTTTGCCCTGAACATTCCTTTCTTTTTGGGGTTGGGTTGGGGGGGGACCTGTTGAAGGTTTCTTTTGGGGCTAACGTCAGGCCCGCGAACTCCGTCCGCGAACTCCGCCCGCGCACTCCGTCCGCGGCCGAGGGGCGGAGTCGGGCACCGCCAGCAGCGAGCGGTGGCCCAAGGCCCGGGGCCCGAACTCCTGGCGGCCCCGCACCACCGCCACGATGGGCTTCGTGGCGTTCCTCGAGCTTGGGACTCGCGCACGAGGCGGTTCGGTTTGGCTCAGCCGGTGCTTTTTGTGTTGGCCTGGGGGTCCCCTGGCCGGGTTTTTGGCGGTTTGGTTGAACCGGTGGTTTGGTGAAGGCCGGGGGAAACCTGGACAGGTGGTTCTTGGTGGTTTGGGTGGTTGTCGCTGCGGCCCGCGAAAGCGGACACCCATCAGCCCGAATTCCACCTCCAACTCCAAACGCTCCAAACCAGAACGAAATCGAGCTGAAGCCCCGAAGCCCACGTGGACGCTCCATCTGGAAGTGTGTGTACCTGTGTTTTTTTCTTGTGTTTTGTGGGCTAGTTTCCTCCGGCCAAAAAGAGGACAAGAGGACATCCCCCCAAACCCTGGCTTCCGATCTTAAAGGCCGTGATGGCAAATGATCCCTACTTGATCACATCTTCTTGGGGTTCCTTGGCTCACGAAAGGTGGCAACCTGGTTTTCCGGAGCGGAAGAACTGGGCAAATGTTGGTCGGATTCACAAGTCCTGCATCTCCACTTGCACAAAAAGTCGTTGACCTGAAATCGGCACCATGCAAGACCCTAGCTGTGGAAAAAAAAACGCCTTGATTTGAGCTCGCCTTTCCCCCAGAGCTCCAAATGTTTACTCTGCGGATGCCAAGGGTCGATCGGGCAGATGCAAACGAATCAGATGCAAGAACTGCGCCCCTGTGGTGTTGAAGCAAGTCTGGGTAGAATCTCCTCTTACTGGGAACCCAGGATTGACAACCCCGGGTTGATGAGAAAAAAAGAGGGAGGGTGTCCGCTTGGGGGAACATTCCCTGATATCCCAACCGACATTCCAACCAAGAAAGGGCGGCTCGGTCTTTCTGCTCGACAATTTGCCGAAGCCGCAGTGGCAAACTCTGGATGGAGATGCAACGAAGCCTATGGATAAGACTGCGAAACAGTAACCCTCTGGAAAATGATTCTAATTCAGAAACCTGAAACAAGGACACCCCCAAGTAATTCAGGAGCCTCAACCAGGGGCTAAACCGCTCGTTCTAAGTCCAAATCAGTGGAACCGCTCGCAGGACACTAAGAATACGTGCGGACACTGATCCATATTTGGTCTGCCCCCAAAAAATACGCCCAGCTGATATCCCCAGCAGCAACCCCAAGCCTTCAGGGAACCTCCCCGAAAGCTCTGAACCACGCTGCCTTTTGTGCAGAAACCCTGTGGGAGGCAGAGACCCCGCATTGCCGCTCAGCTGCAAGGGCTCGGCTTTGCCGCACAAGAGCTTGGCTAAAAACTCGACGCCCCCTGAGATGTGGAGTAGCAACACCCCGCAACCCTGAAGGAAGTTGGCCGTGTAGCACCCCCGCCCCCCACCCCGTCCCTCCCCCCCCCCCCCCCCGGAAAAAGAAGCCAATCCGACAAACAAAGCCGCCCACTTGAGGAATCCTTCTAAGTATTGCTGGGTGGGTAGGTGAGCAGGTAGGTAGGTAAGAGGCTCGGGTTTCCTTCGGTTAGATTAGGTTAGCTTAAGCTAGCGTTAGCTAGTTGGCTTAGGTTTGCTTAGGCGAGCCGAGCTTTGCTTAGGTTAGCTTAGGTTTGCTCAGGTTTGCTTAAGTTAGCTTAGGCTTTCTTAGGTCTGCTTAGGTTGGCTTGGATTCGCTTGCGGCTTGGGTTAGCTTGGGTCTTCTTAGTTTATCTTAGTTTATCTTAGGTTAGCTTAGGCTAGCTCAGGTTTGCTTAGGTTGGCTTGCTAGCTTAGGTTAGCTTACGCTAGCATGGGTAGCTCAGGCTTGCTTGGGATGGCCTAGGTTTGCTTCGGTTGGCTTAGGTTGGCTTAGGTCAGATTAGCTTGGCTTAGGCTAGCTCAGGCTTGCTCGTTTGCTTAGGTTGGCTTGGGTCAGCTTTGGTGAGCTTCGGTTTGCTTAGGTTAGCCTAGGCTAGCCCAGGTTGGCTTAGATTAGCTTGGGTTTGCTTAGGTTAGCTTGTGTTTCGCTTAGGTTCGTTTAGGTTTGCATAGGTCAGCTTAGGATAGCTGGGGATTGGCTTAGGTAGCTTAGGTTGGCTAAGGTTTGCTTTGGTAGCTTAGGTTGGCTAAGGTTTGATTTGGTTAGCCTAGGTTAGCCTAGGTTAGCTTAAGAGGTTAGGTTAGGTTAGGGTATCTTAGGTTAGGATAGATTAGGTTGTCTTAGGTTAGCTTAGGTTTGGTTGGGATAGGTAGGCACTGTTCATTTATTGCCTGTTTCCCCCGTCCGACGTGAAACCTTTCAGCAGGCACCGCGCCTAGATCCGAGAGTCGCAAAGCGCCACGGGCGGCCGCTTGCTGTGCCAGGGTATCCTTCGGCGTGTGGAAGTCTTGTCGTCTCTTGTTGGTTGGTTTCTTGTGGGCAACTAAAAGAACATCGTTCCCTTTTCTGGAGTCAACTTGCGTTTTCAGCGGAGCCAACAGCTGAACATTGGAGCCCCCGAATCGTCAGAGATTTAGTTGGGGGCAAATGTGTGACCCTTTCCAAACGTGCATTAGCTAATCTTTTTTGAGCCCTGTCCCTTGAACAAAAGACAATACCAAATGGTACCAACACAGAACACACACACACACACACACGCACACGCACACGCACACGCACACCCACATCGCGGACGTGAAAAATATATAGCATCTTTGGTAGTACTAAATCGCCAGAATCACTTTCGTCTCAAAAAGCCCACATCGACCTAAAAGCACCGGGTTCCTAATGAAGCACCGAACCATTCCGGAGGGCCTAACCCCAAAGCGTTCAGCTGTCGAGCAGGCGATGCTTTTTCAAGGGTCAACCTTTACTGGACCTGAAAAAGAGGATATATATTCCGTTTGGAAGATTTGGCGACTCGTCCGCCACGTCTATCAAAATAGATCGCCGGGAGTGACCAAAGGTAGCAACTCGGGGCTCTCATGGTGAATCGCGTGAAAGCCTCTTTCAGGCCCAGAAGGGAAGCCTGAAGCGCCCCTTTGTTTGAATCGCCCAAAAGCAGCCAGTTGCCACAAATGACCCAAGTGCCAAGTGGCTAAGTGGCTTGATTGCAGAGAAAACCGAATTGCATGTGCATGAATCATACATCCAAACGCATAGCTCACTTCTCCCCAATAGAAAGGACCGGGGTGCAATGCTTCGGAGAGACCCAATGGCGTCTTTCCTCTTGGGAAACCCCATGAGCACTGAAACAATGGACGCCCCAAACGCCCGAACCAGGGGCGCGCCAGTGCTAACAGGGATGTTCAACTCCGGATTCATCGGCTGCTGTCGGCTCGTCGGCTTTTGAGTCGTACCCCCCCCCCTTTTTTGTGGCTCGAAAGGGGAACCAAGAGAAAAACCTGCCATTTTGCGGGGGCACCCCAAAAAAAGACGAGCCACCCATATCCACATCCGCCAGGGTCCCGACTTTTCGGCTGGCATTTTTTGCAGCGCCGGGCCCCGCTGACCCCTTCTCCGCACTCGCAGAACCTTAAGGTTGGGCAAACTCCCCAAGGAAGACACCCGGAAAAGCGAGTCATGCTCATTTTAGAAATGGTGCTTCGGGAAACATGTTTGGGCTCCCGGAACTAAGACTACTTTCTCTCCGCCTCATTCCTCGATTTCATCGTTTTGCAGTTCCTCCTCGTCCTCGAGTTCCTCCTCGTCCTCGGGTTCCTCCTCAGCGTCCTCCCCTTTGCAGCCGCTATAGGAGTGCATGTCATGACAGCCAGCGCAAACGAGGCGTTGGCATGCCTGACATTCTTTCGCATGGCGGCCGCAAGCGTTGTGCCAGCTGTCGGTGCCGGAGCACATGCAATGGAGCGTCTTGCCTTCTGCGAAGCACTGGAAGCAGCATTCCTTGCCTCAGTCCGGGCAAGAAGGTTGGGTGGTCGATATCTAATTGGGAGACCACGCCCCTCCAAAACAAGAACAATCAAGGAAAACCCGGTTGCTACCTAGACCTTCCCTGGGCATATGTTGTTGTGATTTTCCTGGATGCAAGAAAAGGCTAATTTCAGGCTAAAATGCTCATTTCAAGGGAAAACTCATGGGAAATAGTTCCCAATTGGAAGGTCCTGGTAAGAAAGGGGACCCTCCCCCTCCAAGAAAGGGATACATAAAAAGGTCACCCTTGTTCACTTTGATTTTGAGCCCCCTCCAAAAACCGCGGAAGAAAAAAAAGGCCACCATCTGGGTTGCTCCAGTCCGGGCATTCCTCGCAGGACACATCTCGCTTGCTTGGGCCAGGGCAGGCGCAGACTTCGCACCAGAACCCATGGCACCACTCGCAGAGTAGGGTCTCTTCCGTCACGCCAACCCACTCTTGGCACTTGTCGCACTCTCGCATATCGAACTTCACCAGCATCATGACCAAGTCATGAAGCCGTTCATAATACTCCTTGCCGGGAGACCTCCGTATAACCCAAAAAAAACCGAACATATCACCCCAGGGCACTCACGTTAACAGGAGAGTCACAATCAACACCCGGTACTAAAACGGTCTACCCAGAACCATGTAAGGAATTAAGAAGGCGGATATCCGCAGCTATTTATGGTTGGGATCGTCCTTACTAAGCTTCATCTACCCGGGTTTTGATTGTGGCTCAGGTGATCTTCTCCGGGATGCCTTTTTTGGCTGAGTCTTCGCCCCGTCCTTGCCGCTCTCCTCTTCGTCCCGCTCGGGCCACGGAATCGTTTTGCCGCCCCCGTTCTCCAGAGGCTCCCGCAGCTCCGCGTTGCAGCACTCCTCCCAGGGGTTCAGGTCCTCAATCGCCTTCCGCCACTTGGAAGCCACTGTCTCCTGGTCAGCTGAAACAAAATGGTGCTGCAAGACCCCTCTCCATCCCAAATACACCAAAATGGGCCCCCATCCCCCCCAAACCCAGAAAATATGGGGGCCCCACCTCCCCCAGTGGGTTGGTAGAGGGAGGAAAATCCTGGGGCCCATTCCTACAAGAAACAACCGCCATCTCCTACATGGCTGTGGAACCCAACCCGAAATCTGTGACACCAAAGCTGTCGATTCCCATGACTTCATCCCTCTAAACGGGGGCAACCTAAAGCCACATCTCCCCGTCAACGTCAACTTCTCATGGATTTCGGACCGATTAGAGGACAAATCCAACGGATTCAGGGGACCAACTCCTCTTTGGGTGTTTTTTGGTGGGTACCCATTTTGGTGGTGCTTTGAAGGAAACCCAAAAGGACAACCACCAAATACCAAAAACGCCGTCCATCTCCTGGACAGCCACTTCATTGCCCCTCAAATAGGGCACCACCAGCTTGACCAAGCGCTCCATCAGCGTTACCGTCGGAGGGGCTCGGCTTGAGTAGCAGGAAACCTCAAAATTTGCCACTGCAATCGTTTGCTCGTAGGCTTATAGTCATCCAGTTCCTTCTCAATCACGATCAAACTTCATTGTTTTGTTTCGCAGACTCTGGCTTGAGCCAACGAGCAGCAACACCGTCCTGGTGGAGAAGTTTGTCATCAGGTAGATTTAGCCATCTGGGGTTTTCACGGGAAATACAGCATCTTCTGCAGTGTCTGACTCTGTTTTCATACGGTGGATGGACGAAATCCCGAACCACCTAAAACGGTGGAATGATGATTCTCCTGTAAATACCAATGAAATGGCTTCCGGTGGTTTCCAAGTGGTGCAGGATTTCGTCCATCAGTATCTATACCCTGAAAATATACGCGAGTCGTGGAAGTGGCAGTAAAGGCTCGAAGCAACCCCAGACGATTGACCAGACACTGGACAAACAACACATGCTGATGCAAATATGGGTCTGTCTTTCGTGAGGTTACCCCTTTTTGGTTGGCTTTGAAGGAAACCAAAAGGAAACCAACCATTTTGGGGGTCCCCTGACAAAAGGCGAGCCACCCATATGGCCTTGCTCAAAGCCACGGTCAGTAAGAAAGCTTATCATTGATTGGAACTCCAAATGAGAGGTCCGCCGTTCCTACACCAGGGTAAAAGGATGGCACAAGTTCCTTTGTAGAACTGGGTCCATGACCATCCCCACCAACTCCAAAGGTGTCCAACGGCCATGGCACATCTTGACTGGAAAGTGTCACTAGTCTGGGTGAACTATAATATTTCACCAACCTGAAATAAGGCGGTTGGGGGCCATTCCCCACTAAACCACCATTTTGGGGCGAGGTCGTGTGCGGTCGTTATAATTCACCCAGACTAATGGCACATAGGTTCCTGTAACTAGGTACCCCAGTAGAGAGGTTAGAATAAGGGTACAACGCTTTTCTTCTGTCTATTTTAGGAGGGGAACCCTCCCCAAAAAAAGACTACTGAGGGACCCAGGTAGCGTTCCAAGTTCCAAAGCGCCTGTCCTGGTCCCAGAGTCGGAAGCCCATGTACTGCAGCTGCTGCGGCACTTTCGGAGGTGCCACTGCAAAGAGGCCCCCCAGGGAGATGCCGCAGTCGCTGGGGGCCACGGGCACATAGACCTCCGTCCGAGTGCTGTGCGGATCCCATACCGTGGATGGTTGCGAAATCCATTTTGCACCACCCAAGACATCGTTAAGGTTTGCTGCGGTATTTACAGGGGAGCACATCATTCTAGGGTTTCTTAGGTGGTGCAGGATGTCGTCCATCCACAGTATTCATCAGCCGCGGTTTATTAATAGGACCGGGGCTGAACAAACAAGGGGGTCCCTGGTTCCCCCATATTAATTAACTGGAGTTGACGAATATGGTGTCAACTTCTCCTTTTGCGGGGTGTCCCTGGGTTTAGCTGATGAATACGGGGTCCTCATTAAACCTCATGGCTCGGGCAAAAAGCGGCGCCTCCATGCCCAGTGAGTCTGCGATGAACTGATTCGCCTGCACGTTCAGAGCGCAGCCCCCCATCAGCACTACGCCATCCACCTCCGGTATTTCGTGTGGCTCGGCTGGAGGCGCGAAAGCCACCCTTTTTAAGGGGAACGCAAAAAAAAAACAATCAAAATTGGGGGATGTCGGGACCTCTTTGACAACCCATGGCGTGGGTTCGGGAACCCGAACAAAGTCGGAAGGATGGAGCTGGTTCGATTGGGGAACCACTCAGCGTTTTGTCCCTAGGAAGCCACAAGTTGGATGCTTGGGGATCATTCCCTGGCCATTTTAACCAACTACTGACCACGCGCATGCCACATACCACGGCCACTGCGTCTTGCTTGAAGTACCTCGTCAAAAAAGAAAAGCCCAGTGCCACCGATCGAAACCCGTGGCCTGAAACCAGGTACAAGGAACCTAGGGGCAACACCGATGAAAATCCGGCGCTTCGGCGCCAAGCTCCGTGAAGACGGCAAATAATTTGGACCCATGGTCAAAAAACAGGGAGCTGGACCCTACAATTGGTTGGTCTCTGCTGTTGGGTTCCTTTCAAACCCCAAAAAGGTGGGAACCCTCACAAAACACGAAAAACCCACATGAGATGCGCGAGCGAAACTGCTGAGTTCTCGATCCTCGTACTCAGCCAAGCGATGAAGGAACTGCTTGATGAGTTCCAAACTCCTAGGGGAGCATTTCTCAAGTCGCGAGAAAAGGACTCGCCTTGGGCTACTGAATTGCAATTGCGGGGAATCTGCACCAGAGCCCCCACCACAAAAGACAAATTCCCAAGTGCATGGTTGAGAGGCTCATTCCCATATTCCTGGGGGTACAGTTCGCCCACACATAGGAGGCCACTATTCAGGGGGGGTCCATGCCCTGGCTGATTGTACTCACGAAGGCTATGTGAGCTAGCAGGAAAGCCCACACATGGACTTTGGCTCTTCGGTTGCCTCGTGACACCGAGTAAACCCTGGTGGACACTCAGACTAGGCATCCCGCCAGCCGATTTTCAAGGGGTTGCTTGTTTTGAAGGCGAAAGGTCACTTTTTCAGATTGGGCTGCTCTCCTGCAGCATGGAGCCCGCTAGAACCCCTCAGTCAGGGTGGGAGGGGAAAGGGAATCAAAACCAACACCGAGCCACACACAGCCAGCGGGTGCCAACCAACGAATCGAACAAGTGCCTCACTGAGCACTTTTTCCGGCCTAAGCCAAGGAAACCAGACGCCGGGCTGGAGCCCAAAATCGAATTTTGAGAACCCAAGTTTGGGTGACCCGTCCATTTGCTTAAGTCCCCGAAAGGAGAATGCATGTCCACTAGTGAACTCGATTCCTTTAGAACCAACACAATAAATTAACAAGTGTGTTTACGTATGGGTGAGAAATCACCAATGGGTTCTTTTTGGATGCTCAGCTTCCCTCTAATCTGTGGTTTGGATTTATGGCTCGGTGGTTAAGGAGGAGTTCCCATGTATCTTCAAGCACCAGGGGTTCAAATCACCTTTTCCGAGAAAACTTAGATGCTACACTCAGATGCCCAGAGGATTTCCACGGTAAAAAAAGGGGCATCCTTTTTCGGCTGCTTGACTTTCAAGGGCAACCCCAAAACCCCAAAAAGATGCAGAAAGGGCGCCGCTCCACTGGTTGCAACAGAGGTTGAAGCGTTCAAAACCTGTGAAACCCAGGCAGGGTTTCCTAAGGTCCAAAAGCTGGGAACAGGAACTTGTTCAACTTGATGCGACCTGCGGTCCGTAGAACTTGACTTGAACAACATGCATGTGGAAGTGGTCGAAACCCGCTCCTTCCCTGCCATTGCCGCTGAAGCTCTGCCGCCAGCATGTCCTGGTTCGTCTTGCTGGCACAGGCGAGCTCCACCTCGTCTGAAGCTCTGAAGCAGATCTCCCGTTAGCTCGTCTTAGCGGATGTCCCATAGAATGATGCGTGGCCCGAAAGCACTGGCAGCGGCGACAAGCTCTCCTAGCAATATTCTCTGTGCAAGTTGTTGGCGCGAGTTCCTCTGAGAAAGTTATCCAAGCAAGCTCTCTCAGCGAGTTGCTCTGAGTTGTCGGCGCAAGTTCCGCTGAGAAAGGTCTTCAAGAAAGCTCTCTGTGCCAGTTGCTCTGAGCAAGTTGTTGGCGCGAGCTCCCCTGAGCAAGTTCTCCAAGCAAGCTCTCTGTGCCAGTTGCTCTGAGCAAGTTGTTGGCGCGAGCTCCCCTGAGCAAGTTCTCCAAGCAAGTTCTCTGTGCAAGTTGCTCTGAGCAAGTTGTCGGCACAAGTTCCTCTGAGAAAGGTCTTCAAGAAAGTTCTCTGTGCAAGTTGCTCTGAGCAAGTTGTTGGCGCAAGTTCCTCTGAGCAAGTTCTCCAAGCAAGCTCTGTCAGCAAGTTGTCTGAGCAAGTTCTCCAAGCAAAGTCTCTCCCTACCCAGAAAGGTTCACAGAACCCACCTCTTCAAGAAGTTACGAAGATTTTCCGGTTGAACCCTAGGTTTTGCCTATCGGACTTAGGTGTCGTGCACTTCGAACTCGCACTCCGGTTCGGCGTTTTCCGTGTTTTTTGTCTCGTCGCGCCGAGGCACCATCTCCCTCGGCACCTGACTTCTCCGTGTGGCGTTGCGCTCAGCAGGATCCAGGCTGGCGTCTCCTGAATCGACTCGCGATTTGCGACCTTGCCGAAGCTTTTGATGGGCAGCGTATGCTCGGCGGCGGTGCCCTTTTCCGGTAGGTTGAAAGGGAACCACAAGGAAAACCTCCGCACAGTTTGGATGTCGGGACCCCCTGGCTCCCAACATACCCGTACAAATCTGCGGCTGTGTTTAGAACGCAAGGTCGACCCCAACGGTTCAACACCTGGCAACGTGCTTTTCGCCATTGCGTTTTTGCTCGGATGCAACAACACCATCCATTAACTTGTCACAGGGATCCTTACATTATACACCTGAACATTGCCTTGTAAATGGTGGCTTCCCTTTGCTTGGGTGGAAAAAGCCAGGCAAAATGTATGTTTTAAGGAGCCCCGTACCACTGGAACCGCGGGACTCGATGTCCGTCCTAGGACGCTGTCCAGATGCATCTTCATGGCCCTTCGGATGGTCGGCGTGGACTTCTCCGCGAAGGCGGCGTAGCCCATGATCTTCCCCGCGTCGCCCAGCATCAAGCTCCTCACTTAAGGCACGAGAAGCGGTTCAGCAGGCAGGGTGTGGCTCAAAACTAAAGAGATAGGGTTGCGCAGGTTTTAGTCTTTGGTTCCATTTACCAGGGTTCCATTTTGGGTACGCATTTTTTTACCAACCCTCCCAATGCGAAGGCTTCAATTATGGCCGGGCGCGACGCACGGTTGATGTTCAGCTTCATCCACTCGCCTGTCTCCTCTTCCAGTCTGCCGCATAGCCAATCCTTAGATGGGAAGGACGAGTCGGCCGTGGTCCAAGTCTGCAGGCCCCCCTTTCCAGCCAGCTTGCGAGCACCATTTTCCCCTCATCAAAGATCTCTGTGAGCAAGTGGGTGATGCTGTTGTATGCGCCTCACTTCTGATCACACCAACGAAACGTCCCAATGCTTCAACTTAAGCCTAACCTCCAACCGGGGGCGCTTGCTTGTCACGCGCATTCTAGCAAACCTTCTTAGTCGTGTGGATTTCTTGGGCGCAAGCCTCAAATGGCTCAAAGGCGCAACTCGGCCGGTTCACTCGCGCCTGCAAAGTTTGCGGTGAGGCGCCCTATGCGCTGCACCGTGTGTCCAGTGCCATAGAAGACGTTGTAAAGCCCGTCGTCGCCGCCCCCATCATAGGAGACAACCTCAGAGGAAGTGCAATTCAGACCTCCGCGGCAGCAGCATCTTTCAATTTGCGCTGGCATGTGCAAACCTCTCTGCCAAGTGAGTCCCTTTTGGGCATTCCGAGGCTATGGATCTGAGAGATCTTTAGGATGTAGACTCCGGTGGAAGAATTGATGTTTGGAAGGCTTTGATATAGCCTACCTGCAGACATGCGGAATTTGGGGCCATCCAGTTGGCCCTTGAAGCATCCTTCCATGGTGAACAGGCTGATACCAACGTGTCTCTTCTTCTTGTGGGGTGTGTTTAAAACCAAAGATGCTCCCCTGCAGATCAACATGGAACCAGGTCCCCAAAGAGGAGATTCCTCCAAAACTGATGGATTTTGGGGTTGAGGGGGGTTCATTTTGAGAAACAAAAACATCCAAAAAGGGTTGGATTCTGTCAATACGAAACTTGCCGCCCACCGTCCAGACTTGAGTTGGGAACACCGTCATTTTAGACGTCCCAAGAACCGCGGCAATCTCCGTTTTCGGAGCATTTCTTGCTGACCCTCCTGGGCGGTTCAGAATGGAATGTTGAATCCGATTGTCCACAACTATTGTTAAAAAGTAAAAAGAAACAAAAACACCCCCAGAAAACCCCCCCGAATTCCTCTCGTGACCCGAGCTGACAAAGCGTATCCCTTCGCCGAAACGAACTTGGCGAACTCGGCCGAACTGCGCGGCAAGCTGCCAAGGCCTTGCTGAAGGGCGAGCTAAGGAATCCGAACAAAGCGTGGGCCTCGTGATGGTGCACCCATCGCCACCGCTTCCTGGAAGCGGAGCGCTCCGCTAAGGCGGGCTTTTGGAAATAGTGGATGGCCCTGGTAAATGGAAGAAACCATCTGAACCAGTGCCATCTATTGTTTGGCCAAACTGGCCTAAAAAGGACATCTGTGGCCGCCGGTCCTTTTGAAGAGCTCAGCAGCTCCAAGCGAAGCGAAGCGGCTGGAGTTCGGCTCGGATCAATGGAATTCGAGTTACATGCGCCCTGGAAAAACAAGTCGGATAGGGGCATGACATACAACCCTTGCAGATGCCAATCTACAAATCTCACCCATTTCTTCCAATGGAAAGCTCGAAAGTTGAAGCTTTCTCTCGTGAAACATGTTGCTTTATGTTAGAACCCCTTCCAATGAACGGTTGCACCCCTGAATGCCTTCCTTGAAAGTTCTGGAAAAAACCCGCCAGTGAAGAGGTTCATGCACGCCCGTCCGAAGAAACCACCAAAAGCCACCAAGTCCGATCGAGGTTCACTTTGAACTTCTCTTCGACCAGGGCTGGAGTGTCGAACATGTGATGCGGTTCAACCATAACCTGGGCTACAACAGCACAGGAGTTCCGGCCCCACAATGCTTTACCTGGCAAAAAACTTGTGGGATGCCTTGCATGAGGCATCGCAAAACCGCGCCATTTTTTGCCTGGATGTGGCAGCTTGTGAGGGTCCAGGTACCCAGCACTTAGGGTGAAACCAAACGGCACAAGTGCATCTTGTGGGCAAGTAAAGGGATGACGAAACCAACATGGCATGGAATTCTGCCACCTACTCATACTGAAGCCAGGAGAGCATTCGAGGCTTAGGATGCCATTCAATTCAAGCCTCACACACACCTTCCCAACAAATTCTTTAGGGGAGGATGTTTGGTATCACAGAAATGGTCGACGCTTTCACCGGCGTGGCTGGTTCATTCCTTGCGCTGTAATATGATACTGTCGTGGAATGCCATTGCTTGCGCATGAAAAACAGAAGACAAAAGTGGTAACATCCAACCATATTTCCACAACCACTTTTGGTAGCACAGGGAGCTCCGTAGTCGAAGGTCGTTGGGCACGGCAGGCCATCATCACCTCGGCCGGCCACGTCACCCTAAATTCGTGAATACCCTGTCCAACCTTGCGTTTCCAGGCTGCCGTCAAGTTCAACAGGTTCCTGTCCACTTGGGTTTGTCTTCATTTTGGGAACCGTATGGAAGGGACCCCAAAAGGAAAACCGATGAACAATTTTGGGAGGGGTCCCCCAAAAAAGAACAGAAAGGGACGCTATACAGGCCCTGTTTCTCCAGAAAACAACAGAAAAGTATGGTACGATGTGAGTCTTGCTTGGTTGAAAGAAAGAATCCTTCCTTAAAATGATCTCCTTTTATCTGATTTGGTACTCTGCGCACAGACGCAGACTAAAACTAAGAATGGCTTGGATAGGTCATGCTGTCTGGGGTCTTGGAAGGAGGGTTAGAGGGAGCCAAAAAAAATGTTCATGTACTTTGTTTATTCCCCCCCCCACCCACCCGAAACCCCCCCCAACCCCCCCACCCCCCCCCCCAACCCCCCCAACCCCCCAACCCCCCCAACCCCCCACCCCCCCGAACCCCCCGAAACCCACCTAGACTCGGCCCCGGCCCAGGATCACGGGACCCAAGTACATAGTTTTAGGGTTTGGATCGCCTTTATGTTTTTTAGCTTTTTTTAGTTTTTGTTGTTTTTGTTTGTTTTGTTTGTTTTGTTTGGTTTGTTCTTTTTTGGTTTGTTTTTGTTTTCTAGTCTCTGGCCCCCATTTGCGCAGTTCAAGGATGTCCTGTTTGCCTACACGGCTTCCTTGAGGTTGCATGTACTTCAGTTGCTTATGCAATGGGTCACTGTATTGATAAACTGAGCCATGCATTTTGATAGCTCATACTCTTAGCTAGTGTTTGCTGCTTGGGCATTTGCATGAAGCCTCTTGTGGTAGTGATGATGCAGGATTGGAAGTGGCGGCTAAAAGCGGTGATCGCTAAATGAATATCTGCAACTAGCAACAACATTGATCGCCTTGCTTCACCTTTGATGAAGCACCTGTCGTGGCAACAAGGGGCTTGGTTGCACCAGGGCGGCAGCTCCAGCAGCAACATCTTGTGTGGCCCATGTGCCTGCCTTGTGCATCACTGTGTGGTAATTTAGCTAGGTATAGGATAGAACGTGCGTGTGCCCGTGGCGTTGGCGTGCAACTGCATTTGTTGAAGGTTAGGCCAATGGGTAGCAGTGTCATCAGGCTGCTGGGTTGCTATTGGTTAGCATGCTAGTACCAGAGATGGATACCTCGCTTCAGTGACACCAGCGTTTCCCATCAAAAAACAGTGTTTACATGTAGCGCAGAACATGTCTATCTTTCATAGTTTCTTGTTTTTCAATGATAAGGATGTATTGCGGCTGCCAGAAGATATCTACTTATCAGCAATTGTTTTGATGACCTATGGAGGGCTCAAGTAGAATAAGTTATTCTCTTACCCCCTACCATACCAGCTATTGCATGCCACCAGTTAGCATAGGAGCTAGGGAACCTATCCCTGATGATGTGGAAATTACTGTTTCGCCCTTGTAGGTGGTCTGTATTTCCTGATCTGCCTGCAATAGGACTAGTGATCTGCAGTTAACTCAGCATATCAAGTAGGGAGAACAATGGAAATGTTCCTCGCCCGAGCTCTGGTAGCAACTAGGTAGTCTATGGCAAGTGTGTTTCATTCACGCGGAAGCTAATGAGACAAGCTCACGTAGTTGAAGCAGAAGCCTATCTTGAAATGCAAGTGATTCCGGGTGTCTGCCAATTTTGAAACGTCGTGGCTGAATCCAAGTGCATTGGATGCGTTTCAGCATCGAAGGTATTGCCACAAAGTGTTTTGGTTGGCATGTCATCTTTGAGAACCGACGCATAGAGGATCTTATGTCGGGCTGTGCTGAATCTGGGTGAATTATACTATTTCACCAACCTGAAATAAGGTGGTTGGGGGGCTATTCCCCACCTTTCACCCACCATTTGGTGGGTGAATTCGGTCGTGTGTCGTTAGGTCCTTATAATTCACGCTGAATGCGTTGGTCTCATATTGCAAACGCGGCAACATCCTGATTTTTTTCCGCATCTAGATGTCACTGTTAGGTTCTTGGATGGAACTGTTAGATTCAGTAAATGATTCTCCGATAGCTTTGCTCTGATCTTGAAAAAAAGTGGAGAGTATAGGTAGAGCAGCTCGAAAAAAGAGAGCTTCCTCCTGCATTCACATTTGCTGTCACCTGTGCTAGGATCTCAACTTTGCTTCTGCAGTTCACATGGTATTGTCATAACAATGAACTGCGCATGCTTTGTGTGCTCAAGCGATGCTTTGCAAAACCATCTACAAACACTGAAAAAACAGGGCGGACCGGGAAGACACACCCACTTCCATTGGGAAAAATGAGCGGAACTTTTCTGGAGTGCGGCAGAAGGATCGATGGCGCACAGACTATCTGCGCAAGGCAACCCCCCCCCCCTCCGGACCCAACCAGAAAACAGAAGCGCCAAACCAGCTGACAGGGTGCTTGCAAAGGAAAAGCCCATAATAAAACCATTATGTTGCTCCATGGGGTACCCTATTTTAAGACACAGCCGACGCTGCAGCAAAGGTTTCGTCTGCCGAGCAGCACTCGCACCTTTGGTGGAAGATCTGCAAGGCGGCGCGGAACAGCTCTTGATATCCTCAAGGCGCGTCACCGAAGCACTGGGTGGTTGTCCATTCAACTACGATCTTTTCCTGTCGGCCTCTTGAAACTTGGATGCACCAACAAGTCTTGCTCCTCACGTTTCTTCGCGGAGGTTTCCTCCTGCTCACTTCATAGGCGTGTCGCCCCACCAGTGCCTGAACCCGTGTCAGGTTGGCACTTGCACCTATCAGTCGATGCAAGACTCAAGCATGCCAAGGCTCTGTCTCGAAACTTCCCGCTAGAAATCGCGCCATAGCCTGCGGCCGGTGCATCCAGCCAGCAACATGGAGGAAAGGATCACTCGATACTGCCCGAGATTCATATGGCCAACCACACCTAGGCCTCCAGTACAGAGGTTAGAATAAGGGTACCCTTTTTCTGAAGTCTATCTTAGTAGGGGAACCCTCCCCAAAAAAAGGGTAAAAGGGCACCACTGGAAGACCCAGACACCATAAGCCCCGCCCCAAAAACAAACACCGTGAGCCAGCCGCATCCAGAAGACCGCCCAAAATGAACCTTCGAGCGGGAAACCGAAGCCTGGCGCCTGTGAGGTGGAAGTAGCGCTCACCAAAGAGGCGTTCCAGCTCCAGAACGCACTGCACCCGCCCGCCGATACCTGAGACTTGCGCGACTGCGAGCATCGAGCGGCTGAAAACTTTGATCCGTGTGAAGCTCAATGGGGACCCTCTGCTGGACAGTTCATGTCCACCACTTTGGAGGTGGTTCCTGCCACAGTGGCGCTGATCAAGCAGTATCCTGAGAATGCCGTGGCGAAAGTGGAAGTGGACCCTGCGGATACCATTTGGGATTGGATTTCTCCCTAGCCATAGAGGCCTTTCTTTTTCGTCCATTGAAGCACTGCGTGCTCTTGCAATTGAATTCCAGCATCCAACAAGTGAAACAAAACGCATGGAAGTCCCTCACGAGCAACTACAAAAACATCTCAACCCGCCGCCTTTCATAAATCGTGCCAACTGTGCCAAATCGAGTCTTCTCCTCGGGTATCGTCGGGTCTCGGTGCAGGGCGCAGGCCCGGTCAAATCACTCGCTGCTCAACTTGTTTCTCCGACAGATCTCCAAGACAGTCTGCAAATGCAACATGCACAGGGCAATGAAAATAATGCCTAATGTTGAACTTGCAACACTTTCTGAACAGGGTGTGCTTCTCACTTCGAGATTGTCAGAGGAGTGAAGGGGCCCATGCAGATGAATGTGGGGACCTGCTGGATTCGGCAATCCTTCAATCACGATTCATCAAATCAGAAGCCCTCACGGAATTGATCGATGCAGGCAGGCGTCAACACTAGGCGCTCTTTCAAAGTCGACGTGTGTTTGTGGAAGAGGGCATCGGCATCGGCAATAAGCAAACATGTCTCATGTCATGCAGGATGCACACTGAGCCGTGGACAAAATTACTTGCTTACATTCTGTCGACCCTTTGTCTCTCTGGCCAGTCTCTCCAAGCCCAGACGCTCATGGCCATGTTGGAGTCGTGGCCCACGTGGAAGGCCAGGACCCGTGCCTCCGCCGGGTAGCTGTCGGCTTTGGGCAGCTCAAAGCCCGGCGTGGGCAGCAGCCGCATGCAATCCTGCGCCTGGGGCTCGTGGGAATCCCCCCCCTTTTTGCATGCGGGGCCAGCTTCGGTGTGGACTGCCGGCGGCCATAACTTCATGCTATGGGAGTCGAAGAAGCTTTCGGACTTCTGGGGACCATTGAAGATCCAGCCGTCTCCCAAAAAAAGGGACACTCGCCTTCAGAGGGCGGGCCACATGTTTCAAAACAAAAAGCCAAGACATGAGACCGGCCCGTGCAAGTGGTCTTTGTTTCAGAGAAATGGGTCACACTTGCGATAGTTGCAGGGCCCGACTTCGTCTCCCTTTCCCAGATTCGTTGGCAAGCGTGTGGGTCCAGTTCAAGATAGGGAAGCCGTTTTGTTCGATACGAAGGAGAATCAAAAGTCCACCCCTTTGCTCGATTCCCGAGTGGATGGGCCAAAAAAAATCCAAACTGTTTTGTTTGCCAAGATGGTCTTCCTTAAAAAAAAACAAACAAACAAAAAAAACGTCCATGCTCTCAGGAAGTGAGTTGGAGGGTTCCCTCATGTTGAGACACGCGCATGCTAGTGACATGCCGCTGCCGTCTTTCGGCTCACGAAATGACTCGAGCTGCTGCGTCCCAGAGATGGCTGTGCGGATCTAAAAAAGAAAAAAAGGGAATCCTGCAGGTACTCTATGATTTACATCACTGACCGTGCATGGGCTGCAACCTAAGCATTTCCCCCAACTGCAAAAGGCATCACTCCGACCTGACTTTCGGTCGTTTGCAGGGGGAGGAGTGTTGCTCAAGGGAAACTAATGGAAACCACCTGCTTGGGAGACCCTGTCGCAGGACATATCCACATGCAATGCATTAAAAATTGAAAAAATCGTCACTGTCCAGTCAGCAAACTGCCGAACCTGGCCTTGGCGAAACCTCTCGTGGGAAGTAACTTGGCTTCCAAACCGTCCAAGACCTATTAAGCACCAGCAAGGTATAGTAGCAACAGTGCAAAGGATTCACGATGAAACGAGTCGAGTATGACAAATACCTCAAATACAACGACTATGGCAACAATGTGGGTGTGTGTGTCTTGTTATGAGGGTCCCAAAATCGGGTTGGTTCAAAGGGACCAAAAGCCCCTATTTTGAGACAAAGGTACGCTTGCTCACATTTGCTCTACAATGTACTCTATGAAAGAGATGAAATAAGAAAAATAATAAATAAATCCCCCCTTGCCTCCCTCGAATTGACCATGTGCTGCGATTGAAATAAAGAAACATCTATAAAACCCAAAGCACCCACTCAACAACAACTGCAAGCACGTTGCCAAATCAGATATTCTTGCTGAAGACAGTATATAACTACAAGTGCATGCTACACAATGGTTCATCACCGACAAAAAGGAAGCTCCAAACAACCAGCCAACATGTGTGCGAGTGTGTGTGTGTGTGTCCGTATGTCGTGTCAGTTGTGTCTGTGTGTGTGTGGTGCGTGTGTGTGCGTGTGTGGTGTGTGTGTGTGGGGTCTCTGTGTTCTGTGTGAGTCTGTGTGCGTGTCTGTGTGTGTGTGTGTGTGTGTCTGTGTGTGTGTTTGTGTGTCTGTGTGTGTGTGTCTGTGTGTGTGTTTGTGTGTCTGTGTGTGTGTGTGTGTGTGTCTGTGTGTGTGCTTGTGTGTCTGTGTTTGTGTGTCTCTGTGTGTGTGTGTGTCTGTGTGTGTGTCTGTGTGTGTGTGTGTGTCTGTGCGTGTGTCTGTGTGTGTGTGTGTCTGTGTGTGTGTGTGTCTGTGTGCGTCTGCGTGTGTGTCTGCGTGTGTGCGTGTGCGTGTGCGTGTGCGTGTGCGTGCGCGTGTGCGCGTCCGTGCGTCTGCGCGTCTGTGCGTCTGTGCGTCTGTGCGTCTGTGCGTCTGTGCGTCTGTGCGTCTGTGCGTCTGTGCGTCTGTGCGTCTGTGCGTCTGTGCGTCTGTGCGTCTGTGCGTCTGTGCGTCTGTGCGTCTGTGCGTCTGTGCGTCTGTGCGTCTGTGCGTCTGTGCGTCTGTGCGTCTGTGCGTCTGTGCGTCTGTGCGTCTGTGCGTCTGTGCGTCTGTGCGTCTGTGCGTCTGTGCGTCTGTGCGTCTGTGCGTCTGTGCGTCTGTGCGTCTGTGCGTCTGTGCGTATGTGCGTCTGTGCGTCTGTGCGTCTGTGCGTCTGTGCGTCTGTGCGTCTGTGCGTCTGTGCGTCTGTGCGTCTGTGCGTCTGTGCGTCTGTGAGTCTGTGCGTCTGTGTGTCTGTGTGTCTGTGTGTC